ACCCTTGAGTCTGCAGGCCGACGCTCTATCCACTGAGCCAAACCGGTCAGGGCTGTAGACATATTATTGCATAAAATGAAAAGTCTAGACCAGTGCTTGCTAATAGAAATTATATTGCAAACATATGTGTAATTTTATATTTTCTAGTAGCCATATTAAAAAAGTAAAAAGAAAGAGGTTAAAATTCAATTTTATAATATACTAGAGTTCTGATGCATGAAATTTGTGCTGGAGTGGGGGGGGGTCCCTCAGCCCACCCAGTGCCCTCTCACAATCTGGGACCCCTCAGGGGATGTCCGACTGCCAGTTTAGATCGGGTCTAAACCTGCAGTTGGACATCCCTCTCACAATCCAGGACCCCTCGCTCCTAACTGTTCACCTGCTTGCTCCTTACCGCCCGCCTGCTCGTTCATTACGGCTTGGCTCGCAGCTCCTTAGCGCTTTCCCGGAGGTAGTCTTGGCTCCCACCACCACTGCTGTGCTCGCCAGCCTAGCTTCTGGCTGAGCAGCGCTCCCACTGCGGGAGCTCACTGACCACCAGACGCTCCTGCATTAAGCGTCTGCCCCCTGGTGATCAGTGCGCGTCATAGCCACTGGTCGTTCCGCCATAAGGGTAGCTAGGCTTTTATTATATAGGATTTTATTTAACCCAATATGTAAAAACTTATTTCCATATGTAATCAATATAAAAAGTTAGTAACGAGATATTTTACATGCCTTTTTCATATTAAATCTTTGAAATGCAATTTGTATTTTACACTTGCAGTCCATCTCAGTTTGGGCCAGCTACGTTCAAGCACTCAACAGCCATGTGGCCAGTGCTATCAGACAGCACAGGTATAAACCCATCAAAGTGGTTATTCTGTTGGGAGAGTGGGTGAGGGGGGGATGCTTTATTTTTCCTCCATATTCTTTTGTATTGTTCAATTAAAATTGTAATGTTTCATGTATTACTTTACTAAAAACAAATAATACCAGTCAGAATTATGTTGTGTAATACTTCATATTTCATTCTTTAATGTTTTATTAATCTTTTCTGTTTTTCAGTATTGAAAACACAGTAATAGCAAGAGAAGTAAAAAAGAGCTTATCAAAATGTGAACCATCCTGGCCGGTGTGGCTCCATGGTTGAACATTGACCTATGAACCAGGAGGTCATGGTTCAATTCCAGGTCAGGGCACATGCCTGGGTTGCGCTCCATCACCAATAGGGGGTGTTCAGGAGGTAGTCCATCAATGATTCTCTCTCATCGACATTGTATGGCCCACAAAATCTCTGAAATCAATAAAAAATATTTTTTAAAAATGTGAACCATTAAGTAATGAGATTATTAAACTGATTGAACTGAATACACATTTTCTGAGTTTGAGCTATCTGTGAAGAGTTAGGCTATATATGCATTATAGAACACAAAAAGAATGATACGTTGTCCTAAAAAATTTTCGGAGACAGCTTTGGAACTCCCTTTACAGCTTCCATATTCTCTTCAGGTTGGATTTGATTTCTAGCAATGGCCGAAAACCCTCCAGTTGGGTCCAGTAAATCAAGCTAAATATTTATGGTTTCGTCTAAAATGGACTGTGACTCTAGAGTCAAAGGAAAAATTTTATTATGTAACTTGCAAACTGGGAACTGCAAATTACTTCCAAAGACATTTATTGTTTGCAACAATAAATTAAGTGGATAATGCAACAAGGCAACTGTGGGAAAGGGCAGCTTAAAGTGGATACATTTTGGCCCTAGCCTGTTTGGCTCAGCGTATAGAGCAGTGGTTCCCAAACTTATTTGGCCTACCGCCCCCTTTCCAGAAAAAATATTACTCAGTGCCCCCTGGAAATTAATTTTTTTTAAATTTTAATAGCAATTAAACAGAAAGATATATGTATTAATGTTTCTACCTTTTTCGTAAAATATAGTAAAGAAAGGTGTAAATTAGAAACATTGAAGTTTGAAATTATGAAACTATTTATTGAACTCAGAATAGAAAGGTAATACAAAAAAAGTTAAAACAAATGCACCTGTGGCCATCACCGCCCCCCTGGATCGCTGCAGCGCCCACCAGGGGGCGGTAGCGCCCACTTTGGGAATCACTGGTATAGAGCATTGGCCTGTGGACTCAAGAGTTCTGGGTTTGATTCTGGTCAAGGGCACGTGCCTGGATTGCACGCTGGATCCCCAGTAGAGGGCGTGCAGGAGGCAGCCCATCAATGATTCTCATCACTGATGTTTCTCTCTCCTCCCTTCTCTCTGATATCAATAAAAATATATTTTAAAAAAATGGATACATTCTGGTTTCCTTTAAAAAATAAAAAGTTGTTGTTCCATATTCACTTAGCCCCGTGTACCTTCCTATTCTTTTTTCCATCTCCAACTATTTTCTGCAAATTGCCCAGCATGCAAAGTTAGGAGCCAAAAGATATTCACCAGTTTCAATATGCTGTAATACAGAATTAGAAGGAAGCTTACTAATGAACCAATTACTATTACTGCCTTTATTTTTTACTCTTAATAATTTGTTATCTCGTACTTTGTTAAAATCAAGGGTAAAGTTAAGTCTTTACTTTGTTCAGGACTCATCAGTGATTTATGATTGCCCTTGGTGAAGAGTGAGCAAACACCAGGATAGGGACAAAACTATTGACTACAGCCCTGGCTGGTTTGGGTCAGTGGATAGAGTGTCGGCCTGAGGACTGAAGGGTCCCAGGTTCGATTCCGGCCAAGGGCATGTACCTTGGTTGCGGGCACATCCCCAGTGGGGGGTGTGCAGGAGGCGGCTGATCGATGTTTCTAACTCTCTATTCCTCTCCCTTCCTCTCTGTAAAATCAATAAAATATATTTTTAAAAAAACTATTGACTACTATCCTAGTATATCAATATATTTTGAAAAAAGGGGGAATCAAAAAAAAATTTAATTACCTATTTTTTTAGAATAACTTGAGTCTGCTATTTTTATTATTATTATTTTAAAGTATATTTTTATTGATTTCAGAGAGGAAGGGAGAGATAGAAACATCAATGATGAGAATCATTGATTGGTTGCCTCCTGCACGCCCCCTACTGGGGATCGAGCCTGCAACCCAGGCCTGTGCCCTTGACGGGAATCGAACCTGGGACCCGATCGTTCACAGGCCTATGCTCTACCCACTGAGCCAAACCAGCTAGGGCGAGTCTGCTATTTTTAAAAGATTGGGACTAAAAAATGCCAAAAGTAAAGATAGGAGCGAAGGAGGAAAGGAGGCTATGTTTCCCCTTTGAAAATTTTTATAGAATCATTTTAAGCTGCAAGCGACCTAAATAAACCTAATGTCATTTTCTTTTTAAATATATTTTTATTGATTTCCGAGAAGAAGGGAGGAGGAGAGAAACGTCAATGATGAGAATCACTGATCGGCTGCCTCCGGCACGCCCCCTACTGGTGATGGAGCCTGAAACCCGGGCGTGTGCCCTGACCGGGAACCCATCGGTGACGCTCCACCACCGAGAACCCCGCCGGGCAAACCTCCTGCCACTTAATGGAGCGGAGTCAGCGGGGGACCACCGGAGGGAGTGCCCTGGGCCCGCGGTTCAGCATCACTGCAGCCTGTTGACGGCCTCAACTCTCCCTCACCCCAGTGCTGGCGCCCCTGTCGCAGCAGCTCGCTCGCCCTAGGGGCCCAGCACCCCCACACTCCTACACCCTTCAGATTCCCCTCCGGGGAGGGGACTTCTCAACATTTGGTCGCTCCTCGGCCTCTGCCATCAGCCTTTGAGATCTCCCATCACCCGCCTTCCTCTTTGAGGGTCGATCATCAGAACCCTCCTCCATTTCGGACGCCTACCTCTGCCTTCAGATCCTCCCCCTGAACGCAGCCTCCGGCCTCCCCACGGTCCCTTCCCTCGGTTTGCACGGGGTTTGAGGAACTTCTCCCCTCGGTCTGCATGGTCTCCTCAGCCTCCTCCCTCGGTCTTCGGGGCCCCTCCCTCAGTCTGTGGGGCCCCGCCCTCCACGTGAAGGGTCCCCTCGCCCGGCCTGCGGGGTTCCCCAGCCCCGCACGCCCGCCCGCCTCGCGCACTTA